AGGGGGGGGAGGGGAGTCCCCCGGCCTTCTGACAAGTGCTTTGTGCCTGCCCCGAAGATGCGGACAACTTGCCAGAAGGCGCGAGGACGTCCGAGCGGTCCCGCCCTGAGAAAGCCGTCTCCTCCCCACTTCCCCCCCTCGCTCGCCGTCGAGTCAAGTGCGCCCCGAGGCCGAACAGGGCGAACCACTTTCCCTGGTGACCGCGTCCACGGCGCCGGAAGGCCTGGCCTGGCCTTCTAGCCATAGCAAGCAGGTCTCCGCGGCCGCTCGGTCGGGACGACTCGGGCACCCCACAGCACGCTCCCGGCGAGGTGCGGCTGCTGGAAAGCATCCAAGCTGGGGAAACCACAAGGTACTGATACCGCTACTCCCCGGACCTCTCCTGGGGTGCGTTCTGACCAGGATTTCGAGGCGAATCCAGCGGTGGCGACGACGGAGGCCCAGGAGGCCCAAGAAGGGGAAAACGAGCGGAGGGTAGAGTTATGGGTACCTTTTCCTCCTCTGACAGGCGCTGTGGAGAAGCTCTGGGTGCCGGCGAGGCCGCCCGAACACCCTGGGACTCGATCCTGGAGCCTCGCGGCAGCACTCAGCAGCAGCAAGCGCGGGGCCCCGGGCCCCGTCGGCGGGAACCGCTCGTCAAACCACGACTTCAAGCACCCGAGAGCAAGACACTGCGGCCGTGGGCCGAGCCAGCCACCACTCTGCGGCCTCTCTCTGGCTGGGCCTGGCCAGAGCCCTGGCCTGCAAGAACAGCTGGTCTCCGGGGCGCTGAGCGAATGGAGCACTGGCGGCGCGCACCAGGTTGGGGGGCGGAAAGATACGGATACGTGTTGTCCCCGGACCTCTCTTGGGGTGCGTTCTGACCAGAATTTCGAGGCGAATCCAGCGGTGACAACGAGGATTCCCCAGGAGGACCAGGAAAGGCCGAAAACGAAGGGGGACAACACGTATCCGTATCTTTTTCTCCCCCGACCAGGGGGGTGGAGGGAGGGGGGGCAGCTTCTTAGAAGGCGGCTGCCTCTCAGAAGGCGCCGGTCGCCCTTCGAAGAAGCCAGGGGCGCGGTGCTTCTTCGAAAGGCCCCGGCAGCTTCTTGCAAGACGGAGCTGTTTCTTAGAAGCAAACCTAGCTTCTTAGAAGCACGCCATCTGCTGCTGAGAAACCCGCCAGGAACAGCTTCTAAGAAGCAGCCACGGGCTTCTTAGAAGGGGCGTCCGCGCCTTCTTAGAAAGGGGGGTGCCTCTAAGAAGCCTTCCCCCCTTCCGACACCCCCCTCTGCGCGTGGCAGAGAGCAGGTGGTGGGGTGGAGATACACAGACACGAGACGTCCTGGGTGTTTTCAATGCGGCGCCCCTGGAAGTCCCCACCCCTGCCCCGGGACGGGCTTTGCATCCCGAGTCGTTGCTTCTGACGGCTCTGGGGCCTGGCGGGGGCCTCCAGAGGCCGAACATTGGGCATGGCTTAATGGGGGGGTCACAAATGGGGGGGTCAGAAAAGGTCCCCTTTCGTGCCCCTTTCGGGCCCCTCCAGCGCCCCATGGGGCTCGTTTAGGTACCGTTTGGGTACCTTTTCGGACCACCCTCACCAACCCCCCATTTATGACCCCCCCATTACGCAACGCCCAAGAACACTGAGAAGAGCCCCCGTCCGGCATTCTTGCGACGCGATCCTGCCTGGGAGCAGTCAGCCCGTATAATACGGATGCGCGGTAAGGATGCAAGAGCCTCGGTATGCCAACGTTTTTTCAACGAGGTCGGTCAGCGAAAGTCGCTAAGGATGGGCCGCAGGGGAAGGATGCATGGGTAACCTTGGAAAGTCGCTCATCCTTAGCATGCGGGTTGACTGTAGGGGGAATTCTCGCTCATGGCGGGGGGTCCCATCGAGCTGGCGGGAGGTCCTCTGGCTGCGCGTGCCCGAGGCGGCCGTGAGCCCGGCCGGCCCACCTGGCGGGGGCGGACGGGAACAAGGGCGGACTCCTTCTGCACTCCGTCCTGCCTCCTCCTCCTCCTCCTCCTTCTCCTCCTCCGCCATCCTCCTCCTCCGCCATCCTCCTCCTCCTCCTCCTCCTCCTCCTCCTCCTCCTCCTTCTCCTCTTCATCCTCCTCCTCCCCCTCCTCCGTCCTCCTCCTCCATCCTGCTACTCCGTCCTGCTCCGTTCTCCACCTCCTTCCCCTCCGTCCTCCTCCGTCCTCCTCCTCCTCCTCCTCCTCCTCCTCCTCCTCCCTCCTCCTCCTCCTCCTTCTCCTCCTCCTTCCTCACTTCCATCCTGCTACTCCGTCCTGCTCCGTTCTCCACCTCCTTTCCCTCCGTCCTCCTCCGTCCTCCTCCTCCATCCTCCTTCATCCTGTTCACTCCTCCTCCTGCTCCTCCGTCCTCCTCCGTCCTCTCCGGCGGACGGGAACGGGAGAGGATGGGATGCAGCAGGACGCACGGTTTCGAAGAAGAAGAAGGACGACGACGAGGCAGAAAACGACGAGGAGGCGGAGGAGAGAAACGCAGCCTGCGGCAGAATCTGTGGTCCAATGCTCACGAATATGCTCGGCCATCCGAAGAAGGAGGAGGAGGAGGCTCTTTCTGTCCTCCCTCTGAGATAATCGCGCTTTTCTTGATACTGAACTCGACATCGAAAGATTGGTGCCCGAGTCACATGTGACCTTCACCACCCCTGCTCCAGTCAAACGCGCCTGAGCTTCCTGATCAGGCCGGGCTGTCAATGCCTGGCGAGCGCGGTCTTGCCATGCCAGTCGGTCATGCGTGTGGTTTGAACGCAAGTATCTCAGGCCTCCTTATCCTTCCGTCCGGCCCTCCTCCGTCCTCCTGCTCCTCCTCCTTCGACCTCCTCCGTCCGCATCCTCCGTCTCCGCCTCCGTCTTCCTCCTACGCCATCCTCTTCGTCCTCCTCCTCCTCCTCCTCCTCCTCCTCCTCCTCCTGCTCACACTCCCCTCCGAAGAACTCCCCGGACCCTACGACCCGAGGATCGAGAAACGAAGATCGTGGACCAAAGGTCGATGTCCATTGGGCTTTTGGGCGCCTACGGGAAACTTTTCGTCGCCACAACTTGGTCCACCTCAAATTGTAGACAGAACGCGCCCTGGGACAGGTCAGGGATCGACTTTTTAACCCCTGAACGCAGATCACCTCGCGTCGTGAAGCAAGTGCGACGGACAATTTTGGGCAATTTTCGGCCTCCAGGCCTCCGAGATCATCACAGAACGACTCCCGATGAGAAACCAGCCCCTAGGAAGGCGGCCCACGTTTCGAATCAAAACCACGACGTCGGGATTCTGGGCCCCTGTCCACTTCTCTCCTCCTTCCTCTTCCCCCGCGCTTCCTTTCTTCGTCCTCCCCCTCTTCTCCTCCTCCCCTCCTTCCTCCTTCTCCTTCCTCTTTCTCCTTCCTTCTACCTCCTCCCTCCTCCTCCTCCTCCTCCTCCTCCTCCTCCTCCCTCCTCCCTCCCTCCCTCCCTCCCTCCCTCCCTCCCTCCTCTCCTCCCTCCTCCTCCTCCTCCTCCTCCTCCTCCTCCTCCTCCTCCTCCTCCTCCTCCCTCCTCCTCCTCCTCCTCCTCCTCCTCCTCCTCCTCCTCCTCCTCCTCCTCCTCCTCCTCCTCCTCCTCCCCCTTACGGGTGTCCTCGCGGCCACGGCTGGCTCCGCCTCGCACTCCTGGCCAGCACGCGCCTCGGGACGGGCCCGGGCCGTCGACCTCGCCGTGGCCGCCGAGGCGCCGTCGTGGCGTCGGCCGTCGCAGCGCGCGCGGGCCGGAAGGGGGCCGCGCGGCCCGCACGGGCTGGGCGAGCGGGGCGCGGGCCTCGGCTGCCCCCGACGCGCAGCACGCGCAGCACGCGGCGCACTGCGGACGGTGCCCGGCGCGCGGGCGGTGGGCGCCGCTGCGACGCGGCGCGCTCGCCACACCGTGGGCTCCAGTCGGGCGTGTCCCCCTAGACAGGGGAGACGTTGGACGAAAAAAAACCCAAAAATACCCCCGAAATGCTCAAACCATACCGAACAAGTCGTCCCCTGACTATGCTTTTTTGACCGTGTTTGCATCTTCCGCCCACCGTGGCGTCGCAGGCCCGACTCAGACGTGGGCCCACACGTCGGGGCAGCACGCAGCGCGTGGCCACGGGCGCCTGGAGCACGGCGCGCGCTGCGCGTCGGCACGGGCGCGCCGAGGCGGCCAACGTGGTTAACGGGCGAAGAACGGTATAAAATAAACTTTTTCGCCGTCGTGGACACCTGCCCCAGGGCGGCTGGAAAGTTTATACCCTTACGGTGGCACCGTAGGGGTATAAACTTTTCAGCCGCCCAGGGGCAGGTGTCCCCGTCGGCGAAAAAAAATATGTTATACCGTTCTTCGCTCGCTGACGTGGGGCGGGCCGTGCCTGCCGGGGCGGGCGGGTCGTCGGCGCGGCCTGGGCCTCGGAGCGTGCGCAGGCCTGCAGCCAGCGTGCCACCACGAGTAGGGAGCGGAGGGTCCTCCCTCTGGCCGCGGTGGGCCTCGGCGAGAGATGGGCCCGCGACTTCGATATCCAGAGAGTGACGGGCCTGTTTTCCACCACCCCCACCACCACAAGTTGGAGGGTGAGGGGGTCCTCCTCCTCCTCTTCCTCCTCCTCCTCCTCCTCCTCCTCCTATTCGTCCTTCTCCTCTTCGTCCTCCTCCTCCTCCTCCTCCTCCTCCTCCTATTCGTCCTCCTCATCTTCGTCCTCCTCCTCCTCCTCCTCCTCGTCCTCCTCGTCCTCCTCGTCCTCCTCCTCCTCCTCCTCCTCCTCCACCTCCCCCCCCTCCAACTACTGGTGGTGGTGGTGGAAGACATGCCCATCAAAGAAGGGCCTGGTGCGCAGGCGAACCTCTGCCCTGGGGGCCTGCGACGGAGCTCCCCTGTGGACTCGGCTGACTTTTTCTTCAGCACCCTGGGCGTTTGCTTCGTGACCGTTTGGCACTTCTTCTTCTTCTTCTTCTTCTTCTTTTTCTCCTTCTTCTTCTTCTTCTTCTTCTTCTTTTTTGGGGGGCGCACCTCACTGGACACGGCGCCTGTCCGCCCAGCAGCTCGGCCCTGCGAGGGGCTGGGCCGTGGCGCCGCGACGCCAGCAAGTACGCAAGCGCCGCCGCCGACGACGACGACCACGCCGGCGCGGACGCCGACGCCGACGACGGCGACGGCGACGGCGAAGACGACGACGCCGACGCCGCGGACGCCGGCGACGACACGATGCAAATCCAGGGCCGTGAGCGTCGCATAGCAAGCCATAGCTTCAGACTGCCCATTGATGCGACGGTCACATAGTTTATTTGCAATGGCGCTCAGTGCTCCAAACGGGCAGATCAATACAAGCAATCCACGCTAGAGCGCTTACTCTCTGGCGACGCCTGTGGCGACTGCAGCGGGAATACAGCTTCGATCGACTCGCACTGGATGGCACTCGGGCGTCTACTGGATAAGAAATGCGAATCTAAGTATGACGATAGGGGACGCTACCACGAATTCCTTGATTCTCGTTCCGAAGGAGTAAACACCTTCGGACCCTCGCAAGAGTGGACTTACACACTGGATGGAGAACTCGGTTTCTGAATTCATATCGAAGCAGACGCCGTCGATGAGAGGATGTAAACTCTGAAAATCAGCCAGCTGCCGAAATCCTAGACTCTGAAAAACTGGTTGGGACACCCTGGCTAGCCCCGACGACAAAGCTACACACGATCTGACTGCCAGACGGCAATACTCAGCGAGACTGCACTCTCACAGGCCCTGTGCCTCAGGTGGAAGCTCGTTGTTGTCGCCGACGGCCTTCTGCTCCTTCGGCGCACCCAGCTCCCTCGCGGGCATGTTGAACATCGGGGAGCTGCCCAACCTGCCGAGGGCGAAGGAGTAGCCCACGCCCACGAAGATCGAGCCTGCGAAGATGTTCCCGAGGGTCACTGGGATGAAGTTCCTCCAAAGGCAGTCCCACACGGACACGTCGGCGCCGGCTATCATCCCCAAGGGAATCATGAACATGTTGGCCGGGATATGCTCGAAGCCGATGGCCACGAAGCAGGAGATAGGGAACCAGATGCCCACCATCTTGCCAGGCATGTCCTGCGCTTGGCCCTGCAGGAACACAGCCATACACACCAGCCAGTTGCAGCCGATTCCCTTCAGGAAGGTGACGAAGAAATTCTCCTTGATCTTCTTTTCCGCCACCTTCATCGCAAGCTTGGCAGTCAAACCCACGTTCAGGTTACATGCCTCGACAAAGAAAGCGAAGAGCACGGCGCCAAGCAGATTGCCAATCCAAGCCAGCGCAAACGTCCTAGGGATCTGCTTCCAGTGCAGCTTGCCTTCACACACCGCCGCAGGCACGGTCGCAGCTGTACCTGTGATCAGCACCCCACCTGTTAGCAAGATGAGCAGAAGGTTCACAGGGAAGAGCGCAGCGAACACAAAGGTCTGGATGGTCGGGTTTTCCTCTGCTGCCTTGTCCAAACCGCCAGCCACCACCATCGACAGCATGCCACCGAAGCCAATGTAGCAACCCGCGTAGAAGGACTGGTGGAAGATCTTGATGGACGCGTCGCCGCCCATCGACACGCCTTTGTCAATCATGCCCTGGAATGCCTCCTTGGGGGTCTTCACGATCGCCATGAGCTCAGGCATGGTCGCGCGACTTGCTGCGGACAGGAGCGCCCTGGGCAACGGCAGGATGCAGGGCAAGGGATGCGCCCGCTGATGTAATCTCGACGCGAAGCGGCCTTGCGCCAAGCGCCAAAACGACTTGAACCAAAATGGCTACGTTTTTTGTGACACCGTTTGGCACTGTGGGCTCTTGACAAGCCGAACACGCAAACTGACATCGCAACAGTCGTCGGGTCACCGGGTCGCCTTCACGTTTGCAGGCCCGCCACTGCGGATCTGAATTGTTTTGAGCGCTGCTGTGCTTTATTCGTCAAACACAGCTCCTTGTCTTCCCTGCCGTCTTCGCTCCCGCGTTTTTGCGTTTGTTTTAAAAGGGTTATTTAAAATGTCTTCAGGCCCGTAATTATGGATCTTCGCTTGATTCAAAAATTGTTCGGTTTTCTTCTCAAATTCTGTTCCTTGCCTTCCCTGCCGTCTTCGCTCCCGCTCTCCCACTCCTGCCGCCTCCCGTCGCTCCCGGCTCCGCGCGCAGAGCGCCAGGGCGCAGAGCTAAAATTGCCCCCCCCCCCCCCCCCGCACGCCCTGACACCGCTGTACCAGTGGCGCGCAACGGGCCCGGAGGCCCCGCCACCAGCCAGCAGCGACGACCAGAGAAGAGCAAATCATTGAAATGCAGATATGGGGAGGACTGGACGCCAGGAGAAGCATCCGAGGACGTGGTGAACGGCAATGTGAAACGGCGCAGTGAACTGGTCCGAACACGCTAAACAACGGTTGATTTTCTTGCTGGGACCTGAAAGCGCTAGAACAATGATTTGCAACACGCCCTTCTGTGGTTTAACAAAAAAAGATTAAAACGCCCAGGGAATATCCATGAATAACCAAGCCTATGGGGCCATGAAGCACACAGTCAACACGGATAGCAAGGATACGCGATAAGGATGCAAGCCCCTTGGCCGCCCACGTCGAAGCTTCTCGAGCGGGGCTGGCAATCGAACGTGGTGAAGGATGGACCAGGGAGGTACCCTTGGGAAGAATACCCATCCTCTTCACCGGCTTCGACTGCATGAGTCGTGTGCCAGGAGATGCCGAAATGCACGCGGCGATGCATGCAACCCCTGCCACCGGGCCACCGGGGCCTTCGGTGGAGCTCCCTCTCGGGCCACGGAGCGGATGAGGGGTGTTGCGAAAGCAGCCGGGATGCTTGCAACCTTTGCCCACTGGGGCCCTCGGTGGAGCTCACTGCTGGGCCACGAAGCGTGAGAGGGGTGCGAGAGGCCAGGAGAGGACGAGGATAACATGGGAGGAGGAGGAGGAGGAGAAGGAGGAGGATGGGGAGGTGAGGGAGGAATGAGTGAGGTGACGCGCGGCGCTGCGGATTCCAAACGAGGACCCAACACCACTGGATGACCGGGAAATGACCCTCTTCAGGGTGGAACACCGGCCCCAGGGAGGGGGTCGAGAGCTCCAAGGGCCCACGGTTGGAACACAGCAAGCCGTGGGTGGGGCAAGGGACGATCTCCCGCGCTCTCAACCCTGGGGGCCCCGGCCTCTATTTTCAGCGCGGTAGAAAGACAATTGGAAGTCTCGTGTCTAGTTTATGCTGCCGCCTCACTGTAGCTGCGCCGCCCGCCCGCTTCTTGGGGGGGCAGCACACCGGCCGACAAATCCAACACCGAAAGGAAAAGCTGATGGGCCTGTTTTCCACCACCACCACCGTAAGTTGGAGCGGGGAAGGAGGAAGACGACGACGAGGAGGAGGAGGAGGAGGAGGAGGAGGAGGAGGAGGAGGAGGACCCCCTCCCCCTCCAACTTGTGGTGGTGGTGGTGGAAAACAGGCCCATCAAAAGCGGGAAAGGGGGGGGGGGGGGGCGGGGAGCAGGCGGGCACAAGGGGCCCCGAGCGGTGCAGGCACCCTGGACGGCAAGCGCGCTCCCGGAGCCGCGAGCCTCACCACCTCTGCCACGCGTCGCCCGCCACCGGCCGCAGGGGCCTGGGCGCTGGCAGGCCAGGCCTGGCGGCGGCGCCGCCTCTCTCTGAGGAAGCAAGGGGATGCCGCCGAGCGCCGTTCCCTCGAGCAGGGGATCGACTACAGAACTGATCTCCCCCACGTGGGCTTCTCTGCCCGATCTACAGAGAGCGCGTTCGGCAGATCTGCTGCACAGTCTACGCACTCTTTCGTAGATTCGACGGGCAAGCTAGCTTTGGGGTGAACCAACTCTGCAGTCGATCCCCCAAGCTCGGCTCCATGGGGAGCGTCCTGGCCAGGATTTCGGGGCGGCACCAGCCGCGCCGCCCAATGGGGCCCAACGACGAGGCCGAACGGAACGAAGGGCAGCGGACTCGGTGCCCTTTCCTCCTCGGGTGCCCGGGGGCGCGCTTCAGCCGAGATCTCGGGGCGAGTCCGGCCGTGGCGACGAGGGCCGCCCGAGGGGCCCAGCAAGAGGGCCCAAACGAAAGAAGGGCAGCGGAATCCGTGCCCCTTCCCCCTCTGGTGCTCGGGGACGCGCCAGGGGCGGGGCCCAGCGCGGATCCAAGAGATCCGCGCGGAGCGCCACAAATTTTATGTGTACCCATCGGTCGGAAGAAGTAGGTAGAAACATGAAGTAGGAAGGCGTTGGAAATAGATTGGGCTTCCGCCCGCCTCCCGAAGAGGAGGGAAGAGGGAGAACCACTCGACTCTTGAAGTAGGAAGGCGCTGAAAGTAGATTGGAATCTGGGAATCCACAAATACCTACTTTCAACGACCGATGGGTATGTGTATGGTGTTCGTTTCTTCTTCGAGCGCTCCAGCCAAGATCTCGGGGCGAGTCCAGCCGTTGCGGCGAGGGAAGGGTTAGGTCGGGCATGTCCTCCTACGGGCGTATTTTGGACGAAGAATAAAACATGCACCAAAAATATTCAAACATGGTTTACAAAATCCAAAAATCGTCCCCTGACTATTTGTGACGATTTTGAAACATCCCCCTGTAGAGGGACAGGCCCGACTTAAGCATGTATTGCTCCTTCTCTGTGTCCCTTCCAGAGGCCTCCGGTTCGCAGCAGCGGTCGGTCGACCTCCACCTGCACCATCGGCCGCACGATCCTGGAGGAACAAAGACTACAGAGGAGGAGGAGGAGGAGGAGGAGGAGGAGGAGGAGGAGGAGGAGGAGGAGAGGAGAGAGGAGGAGGAGGAGGCGGAGGATGAGGAGGAGAGGGAAGGGGAGGGAGGGAGGAGGAAAGGAGGAGGAGGAGGAGGAGGAGGCGGAGGAGGAGGAGGCGGAGGATGAGGAGGAGGAGGAGGAGGAGGAAGGGGGGGAGGAGGAGGGGAGGACGGAGGAGGAGGAGGAGGAGGAGGAGGAGGAGGAGGAGGAGGAGGAGGAGGAGGAGGAGGAGGAAGAGGCGGAGGAGGAGGAGGAGATTGAGGAGGAGAGGGAGGAGGAGTCAAGAGAAGTTTAAGCTCAGAGAACGGACGTCATTCGAAGCGTCTTCTTAGACAGTAGCCCAAGTCCAGATGCACGAAAATTCCACGAACAAGTGAAGCCCCAAGAAGACGCCCTAAACGAAAGCTGGGGTCCACGGAGGTTGACGCTCTCCCTCAAGAGTTCTGATGGGTGTATACTGATGTCGCTGCTCCCCAGAGGAGTGCGTTTTGACCAGAATCCTGAGGGACTCCAGATTGGGCGGACGAGGGTTGCCCAGAACGAGCAGGGGAAATGATCGGTACCACAGCCCCACGCCGTTGCGGGTGAGACCCTACACGAAGAGCCTGCCGCAAGCGCCAACCCTTTCCCAAGGGCCGGTTTTTACCCCGTGCCGTTTGTTCACGGCCTCGGGGTCCAGCGAGGGCCACCAGAGGCCGAACATTGCCCAAACCCTGCCGCCGTCATCTCTGCCACGACGCGAGCACCTCTGGAAGGGCGGCGAGGGCTCGGCAGCACGAGCAGCGGCGTCTGCCAACTTTCCTCCTCCGGCCGTCCTGCCCCCCCGCAGCAGGGACACCTGTCGGGCCGGGCGACAGTGGGGGATAGCAAAAGGGGGGCTTGAGAATCAGCTCACGCAGCTGATTTCCCCGGCGCCTCCCGGCGCCGGAGGCGGCCATGTATCGAGGAATGGGCTCGGCGGCGGGGCCGAAGCCAGCTGCATGCGTGACCCCCCCTTGCCCTATCCCCCCCTTTCGTTCGGCCCGAACCTGCAGCGGCGCCGACGGGGGCCGCTGCGACAGCACGCGGTACAGGTCGTCCATCGAGCCGATCGCCTGGCCCGCGGCCTCGAACATGAGGTCCCCCTCCTGGAGGCCCGCGCGGTGTGCCGGGCCCTGCGGCGGCGGCCGGAGACTGGGCCGACGTCGCGAGATCGGGTCGGATTGGAGAGGGGTCGGATCTTGCACAGGCAGCCAGGATAGTGAGGGTGCGCGGTAGGGATGCACGGGCCTTGGAACGCCATGTTGACTTTCGCTGGCCAGCGACAGTTCCTAAGGATGGGCCGAAGGGGCAAGGATGCAAGGGTACCCTTGCCAAGTCGCCCCATCCTGACTATCATGGTTGACTGTGGTGGGCCCCGGAAGCGGCAGGGCCGTTGTTCTTCCCCGCCTCTGGAAAAGGGTCTCTTGAACATGGAGGCGGCAAACACAGCGGCGACCGGGCTCCAAAATTTTGAGGATCTGCTAACCCGGGTCAATCAGACCCGGCTCAGCAGAAAACCCCAAAACTGCAATGCAGGAACAACAAAAACTGCAACGCAGGGCTTCGCAAACCCGCTTCAGCCAACATGCGCGGCCGCCTCGCGGCCACGAGCGGCTCGCTAGCCCAGGTCAGCCAGAGGGGGTCTTTGCAGGATCCTGCGGCATCCGGTGCCCTGGCTGACCCCCGTTTGCAGTGACCCCCCGTCTCTTATAAGCTCCGAAAATGGGAGCCGTGGCCGGGACCGGTCAACAACAACGGCAGAACGGGGCCGGTGACAAAAAAACGGCCCTGTCGTTTCCAGGGCCCGCCACTACAAGAGTCGGATCGCCGACGCCGAGGCTCGACGGGCGAGGCTCCCAGGCCTCTCTGGCTTCAGGTCGGGCATATCCCCCTACAGGCAGATTTTGGACGAAATATCAGAAATAGCCCAAACATGCTCCAAGTAACTGCTCCAAAAAGGCAATCAAAAAATAATCCCCTGACGATTTTGCACTATTTTTGAATATTCCTCCTGTAGAGGGGCAGGCCCGACTTAACTCTGGCTGCGCTTCGAACACCTTCCGAGCCTCCGGGGGGCTCCTCGCGTCGCCACGCGGCCGCGTCCGCCCCGAAGTGCTGGCCAGAGCCCATCCCAGGGCAGGTCCAGCAGGGCTGGACCTAAGCCTTGCTTCTCGTTTTGTGCTCGGTTTGTGGTTCGTTCTGCTCTACCTAGGAATTTCTGCACCTCCCTGCCACACCGAAAAACACACAACGCACAGCCGCAGTCCAGCAAGACAGCGCCTGGGACCCTCCCAGAGCTGGCCCAGGGGCCGACTTCTGACCGCCATGCCCAGACCTCCCCGCGCCGTGAGAGGCCGCGCCGGGCTCCGAGTGGCCCCCCAGGTTCTCCTCTGAGCCCGTTCGGCGTCTGAGCCCATTCGGCCGCCGAGTGGAGCTACAGAAGGAGCTCGACAAGGCTGGACCCGAACGATGTTCTACTGTTCTGTTCTCTACTGTTCTGCTGCTGAACGTGTTTTGCTGTGGTCGAGCTCAGCTCGACCACAAGAAACCCTTCCACAAGAAACCCAAGCCCTGGACCTCCAGGACGTACATTGATTTTTGGTATGGGAGCGTCACGTACTCCATCGCCAAACCATCGAACATCAAGAAACCTTTTTATATACAAATATACATACTTAAATTTACACACATCTATAACAGCCAGGAGGACGCCGACCACTCAGCAGAGCAATGGCAACCTCACCGTGCCCGTGAGGAGGACCCCGAGATCCGGCCAGAACAACCCAGCGGACAGCAAATCGTGTCAGCCACGCTCGAAGCCCAAGAAACCCAGGGCACCCTGGAGGCAAGCAGGGTGTTTCGTGGCATGGGTTTCCACTGTAGGATGTGGAACCCTGGGGGAATCGAGCCGCATCGAACCGAAATCGCGGCCCCGGCTGGCAGATCGATTCGCACTGGGTCGGGTCGCAGTTGGCGGCCCTGCCTCGGGGACGAGCCCCTGCACGTAGACCACCGTGGGCAGCTTCAGGTTCAGGCGCTGCTGCAGCGCGCGGGGGACGGGGCGAACCCCGCCGACGATGCCGAAGAACCCGCGCTGCACGCGTCCGTGCTGGATGATCTGCGACACCACGAAGGATATCGTGTTGGAGGGCACGGCGAAGGCGATGCCCTGCGAGCCGGCGATGATGGCGGTGTTCATGCCGATGGCCTGGCCGCTGGAGCTCACCAGGGGGCCGCCCGAGTTGCCCGGGTTGATGGAGGTGTCGGTCTGGATGATGTTGTCTATGAGGCGTCCGGACTGTGACCTCTGGGGGGACAGAAACAAAAGGGTACTCCCTGGGCCTCCCGCGGGGCGCGTTGGATCTCGAAGGGAATCCAGCCGTAGCGACGAGGGGCTCCCAGGAGGCCCAACCAGGCGAGAACGAGGCGAGGGTAGCAGTATCGGTGCCCTTTCCTCCTCCAGGGCCTCAGCGAGCGGCCCAGCGCGGACACCACGCCCGCGCTCACCGAAGAGGCGAAGCCCAGCGGGTTCCCCACGGCCACGACCAGCTGCCCCACCCGCAGCTTGCCCGAGTCGCCGAGGGGCACCGAGGGCAGCGCCCTGCCCACCGCCGGGATGCGCAGCACGCCCACGTCCGTCGGCGGGTCGCGCCCGACGACCTCCGCGGGCAGGGTGGTGTCGTCCTCGCGTTGGGGCCGGCGGCGGGGAGCCGAGGTGACCCTGCACTGGTTCCGGCTGGTGGAGAGGAGGGAGGAGAAAGGGCCCCCTCCCCTCTGCGCCGCGGCTGAGACCCTGGCCTGAAGAGCTGGCCAACCTCGGCCTTCGAGAGGGGTCCGGGGGGGGCCGCTTCGGAGCGGATGTCTGCCCTCGTCCCCCCTCGCGGCATTCTTTTCTCGAGGCCCATCCAGCGCAGACCCCCCGGTCGCGCAGGCGGTCCTCGAGGTGCACCGAGAGGCCCGAGGCGTTCTCGCCTATCACGTGGTCGTTGGTGACGATGTACCTGCGGTGCGGGGGCTGCTCCCTGCCCACCGCCCGGGGGCTGCGACCTGCGGCGGACCTCGCCATGCGGCGGACGTGCATGCTTCCGTCCTCCTCCTCCTCCTCCTTCTCCTCCTCCTCCCCTTCCTCCTCCTCCTCCTCCTCCTCCTCCTCTTCCTCCTCCTCCGTACTCTTCACTCCGCACCCCTAATTCCTCACTCAATCACTCGTCACTCCTCCTCCTCCTCCTCCTCCTCCTCCTGCTCTTCCTCCTCCTCCTCCTGATCCTCCTCCTCCTCCGCCTCCGCGTCCTTCTCCTCCTCCTCCTCCTCTTCCTCCTCCTGGCCCTGGGGGGGCGCCAAGAGATGTCCACATGCGCCGCCTGCCGAGGCTCCCGAAGACCGATCCCCCTTGGCGGTGGCCATGGTGAACGTTTTCTTCGGCGCTTCGGCATTGGGCGGGAAGGGGGTGGGGGGGAGGCGGGGGGGGGGGGTCTGGCTCCAGACCTCTGCTTGACGCGACTGTTCGCAACAGGGCGTCCCATGGGGGAGGCTCCACCTGCTTGAGACAGGTGCCAAAAACAGCCAAGATCTTCTCCATAGGGGAGGGGGGGGGGGTGCGAGGGCCCGCGCCGCTCGGCAAAGCAGCGAATAGGTAAGAAAAAGATCGCATGGCTGAGTCCCCGCCCCGGAGTACCCGTCGGAGCTGAAGATGAAGCCGCTGCCCTGGCCCCCGCCGTCCCTGTGTCGGATCGCGACCGTGGCCGGGCCCACCGCTTCGACCGTCCTCGTGACGATCTCCGAGTACGCGTCCAAGGCCGCCGCGGCGCAATGCCTGCGGTGGGCCCCAGCACTGTGCGGCGACAGACCGTGCGGGGACCTCGGAGTCCTGAGAGGCCTCGCCGCGCGGCTCCGGGGCCTCGGAAGGCCCGGAGAGCGGCCCGAGTCTCCAACCCCGTGCGGTCACCCCACGTCCCCGCCGACTGCCCGCACGCGGTGGCCAACGCACCGGTTGGGAGCCTCCGACAATTGAGACGCTCGGAGTGGGTGGAAGGAAAACATGGGCACAGTGCCCAGCCACAAAGGTTGTCCAAAACCCGCAGCGCCCGCTGCTGGGCGGGCGGCCCTCTGTCTCAAAGGGACGACGTCCGCGGCGACACCGACAGCGATTCCTGCTCAAGATGAGCAGGAACTGCTGTCGGTCTTTGTGCCCAGTCTTTCCGTACAGTAGGGGCTCGACCACAAGAAACCTTCCACACGAAACCCAACCCTGAGACCCCGGGACGTCCATCGACTTCTGGCGTGGGAGCGCCACGCTCCCCACAGCAAAACCATCGAAACCCAAGAAACCCCAGGGCACCCCGGAGAAAGACAGGGCGTTTCTTGGCATGGGCCTCCAATGTATACAGTCGGGGCGTTGACCTGAGGAACCCTAAAGAAGGAACGAGGCCCCTTTTTTCCATAACTTAACCCTCGATGTCCTGTCGAATGCATGAGGAAAGCCTGAGGCAAGCTTATGAAACACTCGAGGAACGCGGAGCCCCTCCCCAGCGAAAAGGCTTCCTTCTTCAGGGCCCCGACTGTACACTGCACCCATGCCGATCGCCCCGGGACGAGTATTTGGACGCCCGACATGGGTACCGAAAAAATGGGTACGATGCCCAACAAGAAATGTTGTCCCAAACCAACAGCGGCCGCTGTTGGGCGGGCGACCTTCTGTCTCGAATGGACTCAGGCCGCGGCGGCGCGGACAGCGAGTCCTGTTCAAAATGAAGAGTGCCCATTCTTTCGGTACCCATTTCGGGCGTCCAGAGAGTACCTGCCGCCGCCCCCGCCCGGCCGCCGCAGCAGCAGCGCCCCGCCCACGCCGCCGCCGCGGCGGCGGTGGGGCCCCGCCCGGCGCGGGACCGCGCGGGCGAGCTGCGCGAGCATGCCGCCCGCTCCGAGGCCGCCGCGGGCGAGGGCGGGGGCGAGGGCCGCTGGAGGCCCAGGCTCAACGACGAGGGCGTGACGTGGACTGCGGCTGGGGCCAGAAGAGCTACGGGCAGGGACGTCGATGAGGAGGAGGAGGAGGAGGAGGAGGAGGAGGAGGAGGAGGAGGAAGAGGGCGACGACGACGACGACGACGACGACGACGACGACGGCGAGGAGGAAGACAAGGAGGAGGAGGAGGAGGAGGAGGAGGAGGAGGAGGTAAAAGAAGCCGTGTCCTGAGGGTGGTGGGGTCCTTGCGTCGCCGAGGAGGCCGCGCTGGTCGCGCTGGGCATCTAGGAGCCATCCCTCCTGGTATCCGCGAACCCTCGCCTGGTGGGACCAGTGCGGTCGCCGACCCATTGTTGGTTGCTGTCGGTTTGGAAAAAATCCGGGGGAAGAATCCAACCAGCAGTTGTAAGTACCGTGGTTGTAAGTACCAACCTCGGTGAAGCTTCCTTCACGGCCGCGGAGCGTGTGAGGGGTGCAATAATCGGGCGGGGCCACCATGTGACCGCGGCCTCGGTGGAACTCTCTATGGGGCCACGAAGCGTGAAGGGTGTGCCCAAACAGACGGCGGGGACGTATGCAAACCCTGCCAATGGGGCCTTCGGCGGAGCACCAGATGGGGCCACGGATCGTGTGAGGGGTGTGCCGACATGGGTGGCTGGGGCGCATGCGAACCCTGCCACTGGGGCCTTGAGTGGAGCTCCTCGTGGGGCCACAAAGCGTGTGAGGGGTGTGCCAATATGGGCGGCGAGGACGCATGCAAACTTTGCCCAGTCTGCTGGGCTGTCTGAGAGTGGCGTAAATCCTATCAACAGGGTCCAGCAATGGATTGCCCCTGCCTGCTGGATTTCCCCGTCGTTGCGCAGGTTCCCGATCATATAATACCACCCTGCGTTGCCCTTGTCTTCTGGACTCATCACTGTTGGGGGTAGGCGTGATGGCGCCAGGATAATGTATCCACAAATCGGGGCGCGTCAATACTGTTCTTCACACAGCTTTGACGTACACTAGTTTCGCTACGACGGGCAACCGCACAAGTGTGCAACGTTCCACTGGAAGCGCATCCTTATGAGGGCGCACACACACACACACACACACACACACACACTCACTCACTCACTCACTCACACACTCACACACTCACACACTCACACTCTCACACACACACGCGCGCGCGCACGCATGCACACAAACACACTGCGCGCGGGCACTGGCAATCGCGGCGCGGAGGGCACCTTCTTTTCTCCGAGGGCACATGCTGTCGCGCCAACTGTGCTGCGCGCCCGCTCCCCCGGCCACTCGCTCTGCAACACATGTCTGTCTCGGCGGCGGGCTCGCGACTGGACTCGTCTCCTCAAGCTGCCTGAAGCAGCCAAGCTGCGCGCCCATCGCTCCGTGGCTGCCGACGCGCTCTCGCGGCCAGCTCCACGGACAGCGCTGCAAGCGCTGCAATTGCACAGAGCACCGCAGCAGCAGCGCCCGGGCCAGAGTCGGGCTTCTCCGTCAGTGTCGTGGCCGTCGCTGCGGTGGAGCTCCTCGCCCTCGGAGGCGCTCCCGCCGATTCTCCTTTCTGCAGGGAGGCTTCAACGAGGTCGCATGGTTGACAATCGCCCGCAGGGGAACTACCCTGACCTTTCGGACACACACATCGGCCATTCTCGCATTTCGCATTACGCCACTGGTGGCATGGCAGTACTTCGCACGAGCCCTTCGTGTCCACGTCGCATGTCGAGGAGCAGACCCCTTCTTGATCGCAGGCCTCCTTGGAGCACTTCCCGTCCAACGCGCAGAAGCCAGGCTTGCACATGCAGCGATACTCACGAAGCAGCCACGAGTCCCACCCGCCGCCCGCGCAGACCGTGGGCCCACGGCCAACGTCGCAGGAGAACAGGCTGCAACTCCCCCCCGTGTCGCGGTTGCAGGCCCTCGCGGGAGCGGCGGGCCCGAACTCGCAGCCCCAGCCCCGGTGCCCGCGCGGCGGCACGCAGGAGTACTGCTCGGAGGTGAGGCCAGCCGGGGACAGCAGCGGGCAGCACACCCCCGGCCCAGAGGCGCCCCGGGTGGCGCCCGGGGAGCAGCACTGGCCCGCCTCCTGGCGCCAGGCGTGGCCGCAGGGCCCGGCGCCGCAGCACGCGTTGCAGCCCACCTGCAGGGGCCCCGCCGCCGCGGACAGGTTGAGCCAGGCGGGCCCTGCCGTGCCCACGCCGATCTGCAACCCGTGCCCCTGAGCCACCTCGAGGGCCACCGCCAGGGCCAGCAGCAGGACGCCGAGGACCATCGAGAGGCACCCCGTCTCTCCGCCGCGCGGGGCGTCTCCGTGGAGGGCTCCTGCGCGGGGCGGGGGGGGGGCTTCTGAGAAGCCCGCCGGCCCTCTCAGAGGCCGCCCCCCGTCGGGCCGCACCCCTCCCCAGAGATCCGATGCATGGCCTCCTCCTCCTCCTCCTCCTCCTCTTCCTCCTCCTCCTCTTCCTCCTCCTCCTCCTCCTCCTGCTCCTCCTCGTCCACTGCAGGGTCCCCAGAAGCCCCGACCCTCTCTCCCCCAGGGCCAGCGTCTCGTCCCGACGAGTGGCCCTTGGACGGCCCCGGAGCCCGGCGAGGGCCCTCGGAGGCCAAACGCGGAGAGAGGCCTTCAATAGGCTCCCCAGGCATGCGGCGCCCTGACCGTTTCAGGACGGCGTCCCCGGAAGTCCCGACCCTTTTCCCCGGGACCGGCTTGTCGTCCTGAGCCGCTTCTTGACGGTCCCGAGGCCCAGCCTCGGGGATGGACAGACCCCCCTTTAGTAAAACATGGTCTAGTGAAAACAACTTCGGGCCCAAACCTGGCGGGCGCAAGCCTGGAAAATAACGGCCACGGCGCCCTCTCGAGCACCGAAAGCGGACAATTCACTGATCGACGTGTCACTGTTGGGGGCTCTGTCCACCCCCGACAGCCTTCCCGCCCTGACTTGTTGCACGACGCGAGCATGCCCTCGGCCAGCCGCTGTCGCCGAAGGGGCCCCCGCGCGCGGCCCCGGGGGCGCAGAAGCGGCTGCGGGGGGGAGGAGGAGGCAAAGGAGGAGGAGGAGGGGGGGGAGGAGGAGGAGGAGGAGGAGGAGGAGGAGGAGGAGG